GCTACTAAATTGACCAGTATAAACAAACTCTTAATCGAAGTAGGAGTGAGTACACTAACTGAAAGACGCCAAAAGCATAAACTTATTCAATTTTATAAAATGGTATATAATATAACTCCTGCATATCTATCCATCCTTATCCAACGCAAATAGCAGATACCAATAGGCATAGTACTCGACAATCAAATAATCTTTCATCTCTCCGTTGCAAAACTAGTTACTATATGTCATCCTTTTTACCTTCCACTATATCATCTTGGAATAATATGCCAGTTGAAATTAGAACAAATCCCTCTTTATCGTACTTTAAGAAATACCTCGAAAAAGAGTCACGACCGTCCCCTCCTTCTTACTACTATTCTGGAAAAAGAATTGCCCAAATATACCATACCAGACTAAGACTATCATGCAGCACTCTAAATGACCACCTATTTAAAAGACAACTTGTAGAAAGTCCACTATGTACATGCGGGGAAATAGAGGATAATATCCATTACTTACTCATATGCCCGAACTATAATGTTTTACGGCAACTTACTTATTATCACTACCCCCACAACACCACAACTAATTTGTTATTATATGGTGATATACATTTACCGGAAGCAGTTAATCTCGATATTTTTACATCTGTGCAGAATTATATCATGCAACGCAAGCGTTTTAACTAAAAATATATGATAATCAACGTATGTGTACTTATCTTAAATTATTTTCTATGTAACAGATGTGTTAACAGTGTGAGTGAGCGCAATGGGCATGAAAACCATATAATGAACAAGTTTCTCATTTTGTTTGTGTTTAGGCGTATATCACTCCAATGTGTCATTTCCTACTTGAGTATCACTGCTATTCACATTAATCGAAAATTGTTACATTGTTTACATGTTCCCTTCATATTTCTGCCATTCTACGAAATTATTTTATGTATATGCATTAGAACTTAATTATTTCAATATGATTTAATGATTACTATGTCTGCTGTCAGTATCGTATATCTAACCTAACGAAACGGACATTATATACGTACTTAGTACTTGTTTCCGAATCGTTGTTGATTATATATATTGAAAATATAATGTATTGTACAATGTATATTACCAGAAATAAATCTACTTCAAACTAGTTTAAAGGCTGACAAAGTATCTTCCTCTTCCATGGCATGCAATATAAGATATAAGTATGCAGTAATTTTGTTTACACCTTATAAGACTTGGCGATCCATTGTAGTAGAGGGTCCCATGGAGATTGTTTACACCTTATAAGACTTGGCGATCCATTGTAGTAGAGGGTCCCATGGAGATTGTTTACACCTTATAAGACTTGGCGATCCATTGTAGTAGAGGGTCCCATGGAGATTGTTTACACCTTATAAGACTTGGCGATCCATTGTAGTAGAGGGTCCCATGGAGATTGTTTACACCTTATAAGACTTGGCGATCCATTGTAGTAGAGGGTCCCATGGAGATTGTTTACACCTTATAAGACTTGGCGATCCATTGTAGTAGAGGGTCCCATGGAGATTGTTTACACCTTATAAGACTTGGCGATCCATTGTAGTAGAGGGTCCCATGGAGATTGTTTACACCTTATAAGACTTGGCGATCCATTGTAGTAGAGGGTCCCATGGAGATTGTTTACACCTTATAAGACTTGGCGATCCATTGTAGTAGAGGGTCCCATGGAGATTGTTTACACCTTATAAGACTTGGCGATCCATTGTAGTAGAGGGTCCCATGGAGATTGTTTACACCTTATAAGACTTGGCGATCCATTGTAGTAGAGGGTCCCATGGAGATTGTTTACACCTTATAAGACTTGGCGATCCATTGTAGTAGAGGGTCCCATGGAGATTGTTTACACCTTATAAGACTTGGCGATCCATTGTAGTAGAGGGTCCCATGGAGATTGTTTACACCTTATAAGACTTGGCGATCCATTGTAGTAGAGGGTCCCATGGAGATTGTTTACACCTTATAAGACTTGGCGATCCATTGTAGTAGAGGGTCCCATGGAGATTGTTTACACCTTATAAGACTTGGCGATCCATTGTAGTAGAGGGTCCCATGGAGATTGTTTACACCTTATAAGACTTGGCGATCCATTGTAGTAGAGGGTCCCATGGAGATTGTTTACACCTTATAAGACTTGGCGATCCATTGTAGTAGAGGGTCCCATGGAGATTGTTTACACCTTATAAGACTTGGCGATCCATTGTAGTAGAGGGTCCCATGGAGATTGTTTACACCTTATAAGACTTGGCGATCCATTGTAGTAGAGGGTCCCATGGAGATTGTTTACACCTTATAAGACTTGGCGATCCATTGTAGTAGAGGGTCCCATGGAGATTGTTTACACCTTATAAGACTTGGCGATCCATTGTAGTAGAGGGTCCCATGGAGATTGTTTACACCTTATAAGACTTGGCGATCCATTGTAGTAGAGGGTCCCATGGAGATTGTTTACACCTTATAAGACTTGGCGATCCATTGTAGTAGAGGGTCCCATGGAGATTGTTTACACCTTATAAGACTTGGCGATCCATTGTAGTAGAGGGTCCCATGGAGATTGTTTACACCTTATAAGACTTGGCGATCCATTGTAGTAGAGGGTCCCATGGAGATTGTTTACACCTTATAAGACTTGGCGATCCATTGTAGTAGAGGGTCCCATGGAGATTGTTTACACCTTATAAGACTTGGCGATCCATTGTAGTAGAGGGTCCCATGGAGATTGTTTACACCTTATAAGACTTGGCGATCCATTGTAGTAGAGGGTCCCATGGAGATTGTTTACACCTTATAAGACTTGGCGATCCATTGTAGTAGAGGGTCCCATGGAGATTGTTTACACCTTATAAGACTTGGCGATCCATTGTAGTAGAGGGTCCCATGGAGATTGTTTACACCTTATAAGACTTGGCGATCCATTGTAGTAGAGGGTCCCATGGAGATTGTTTACACCTTATAAGACTTGGCGATCCATTGTAGTAGAGGGTCCCATGGAGATTGTTTACACCTTATAAGACTTGGCGATCCATTGTAGTAGAGGGTCCCATGGAGATTGTTTACACCTTATAAGACTTGGCGATCCATTGTAGTAGAGGGTCCCATGGAGATTGTTTACACCTTATAAGACTTGGCGATCCATTGTAGTAGAGGGTCCCATGGAGATTGTTTACACCTTATAAGACTTGGCGATCCATTGTAGTAGAGGGTCCCATGGAGATTGTTTACACCTTATAAGACTTGGCGATCCATTGTAGTAGAGGGTCCCATGGAGATTGTTTACACCTTATAAGACTTGGCGATCCATTGTAGTAGAGGGTCCCATGGAGATTGTTTACACCTTATAAGACTTGGCGATCCATTGTAGTAGAGGGTCCCATGGAGATTGTTTACACCTTATAAGACTTGGCGATCCATTGTAGTAGAGGGTCCCATGGAGATTGTTTACACCTTATAAGACTTGGCGATCCATTGTAGTAGAGGGTCCCATGGAGATTGTTTACACCTTATAAGACTTGGCGATCCATTGTAGTAGAGGGTCCCATGGAGATTGTTTACACCTTATAAGACTTGGTGATCCATTGTAGTAGAGGGTCCCATGGAGATTTTGTCATGTAGCCAACATTAAAAACACGTCAAATGACTTCATTCTAACGTCACAATGGCTGATATTACACAAATAATAGAACAGATATTGACATAGATACATTTAGAGTGTGCATGACGCAATAATGTTGAACAAAATGTGAATGATGAATCTGCCAAAGATAGTACCCTTTTTCTGTGGAAAGTAGCAAAGATATATTTTAATTCCAGTTAATTTATCAAAATGATGTTAATTCCAAAACAGGGTGAATATACCGTTGCTGCATAGACAGTGGTGAGGCCACAGACATTGCATGATACCGGAAAATTGTCAACAAGTTTACTTCTTGTAAATCCCATAAATACTTAATATTGAAAAAAAACTCATACTTTGTTTTGTAAACGACCGCTGGGCGTAGGAAAAAATACTTGTAATAGTATGGCTTAGTTAGAACTTGGAAGGTATCCAATGTCATTGGTAAGAAAAATAAGAATTATTAAATATTGGATTAGGTTAAAGAGGACTAATAATTGTATTTTGCAAGCATGTTATAAATATATGTTAGAGAATAAGGATAAATGGGTTTTGAACATGAAAATGATTTACATAGACTTGGCCTAGGTTAAATATGGGAAACAGAAATAATTGATGATATGTGTTATAATGTTATTAGAGATTGTTATTGTTATATATAGACAAGAATGCAAATAAAAAGTAAGAACATATGCAAAGTGATATATCTATACATAGCTTTATCACCAGTTTGATTTACAGTGTTACTTAAGAAAACCATTCAACTAAAGAATATTTGAAAGAAATTACAAATATTAGATTATCTGATCATAATTTAGATATAGAAAAAGGTAGATATCAAAATATTGAACGTACTCTTAAAGTGTGTATTGTATGTAAATTAAATGATGTTGAAGACGAGTTTCATTTTTATCATTAAATTTGGCCAAATCTATAAAAGCGGCAAATGTAAGGAACCAATTAACTTATTGGTTACACTCTCCATACTGTTTGTACATTGCTGGTATTGTATTGTATTGTATTGTATTGTATATATTGCTGGTATTGTATTGTATATATTGCTGGTATTGTATTGTATATATTGCTGGTATTGTATTGTTTTGTATATATTGCTGGTATTGTCTATAAATATTGTAAATATATCTCACTTTTGAAACCGATATGTCAAAAAACTCAAGGTAATAAAGAACTTGAAGGAACTTGAACTTCTTAATGAGAAATGAATTAATCACATTTGATACCTAATATTGTCAAAAGTCTGCTTTGCAATACAAACATATCCTTTCTGTAATATACCACTCTCATTTTTGAGGAGTAAAGAATGACGATGATGATGATATAGGCTCTGTTTGGTTCTTGTTTTTGTGTTACAGGTACCCTGTGATTCAGAACAGAATGAGGTTTCAAAACTTAATGGAATATAGTTCCGATACCAACGGAGCCTCGCGAGCGGTCAGTCTTTGTCCGGTGTCCAGCTGTTGTTTTGTCCACCTTGAAGATCTTTACCCGATAGCCAATGTCCGGAGTATTGATACCAGTCTAAATGATGAGCAAAACTACTTGACACAACCAAGCATCTTGTTGAGTCAGCGACCGAAGGGAGATAACCCGGATACAGGATCACAGAATGGACGATCCCAAGCTGAGAGTGGCCGACACACGTCTACTATTGGCGCAAACTCGGACCAGAGGAGGAAAGCAAATATCCGTGAACGACGAAGGATGCAAAATTTAAATGAGGCGTTTAATTCATTGAGGAGAGTATTGCCGACATTTACGTACGAGAAACGTCTATCTCGAATAGAAACGCTACGCCTGGCAATTGTGTATGTGGACTTCCTGACCAAATTTATCGGCGGTAACACTCCGTCTGACATTCGCCTGGTTAAATTCAGTACTATTGGAAATATTCCTGATAAGTGCATATGATACCAGTCATAGGGACGGAGCTGGACTGAATCAAAGAGTACACATTATATTGGTACAGTGAACATGCTTGTTAGGGTGATGGTTGAAACATTTAACTGCCATTTCTGTTTCCTAGCGAGATATGTTTTACTATTTTTCAATATTTTCCAACGCAAGTTAATTAGGTACTATGCATAAGTACCATACTTGTTTCCATTGCTACAATTAAATGACAGAAGTTACCGCTGAGCATGGGTGGTAAACAACCGGTTAGTGTGTGTCTATAGTCTTGAAATACTGGAGTTGTTAGATTGAAGATTAGCGCCCCTCCGATACAGACATTCATTGAGGAAGTGAGTTGAAGTAACCGTTCCGTAATCTGTTGGAAAAGCTGTGGTTAAAATTACAGACTTGAACTAAAAGAACTATTTTAAGTATATGTGTTAAAAACAAAGCAATTACAAATCTTAAAACGAAAAACCCTTTATTATATTTTCTTGACAATATCAGCGGAAGTGACTCTTGAATCGAGCGGATTCTGCTGCTTGCGATGGAGATCTGGTGAAGCTATATTCCAGAACCATCTATTTGCTACCAATTTGTTTTTGACGAAATAATTTTGTTAGACACCAGTCCGCTGTATTTCTCGTTTTAATTAGGAGGAATTCACATATCCTGTTTTTCCAAGTCAGCGACAAGATTGCTACGAAACTGCGGTTCGTATTCATAAAATTACTATCGGGTGTCAAAACAACTCTAGTTGTAATTCTAGTTCTAGTAAAAACGTACTTTAAAAAAATCTAATACGTTAAAGATGTCCTTAATATCATATGCCTCATCTTTATATCTATATTTATATATGTTATATATATCCCAACGTTTTTATTCAATGCAGAACAGAAAACTTATACAGAAATTACTCGTATGATAGTGTGAAATGTTTGGATATTACAATTCCTTTACGTTCTTTACTAAATATAGTTCATATTATTATATTCATAAGTGAATAAAATATGCATAGGGTCTGGGGTATTTTGTTTCCCTTGACATTGAACATGTCCTCGTGTGATAGATAAGATTATAGTTAATCCTATCGCATTTTGTATTGTCATTTGGCTAACTTCAGAACTGTCGGTAGCATTCCGGATAAAGAGACACCGTCCCGGACATCAGAGTTGTCTGGGGAAATATATACATTCGTACCCGTGTGAATTACTGCAGGTACACTCTAGGAAGGCGTTTTATTGAAACACTCAGCTGCCTTCTCTGTTTTCTGACGGACCTTATGTATTTTTTATAAAACTATTGTTATTTCAGATAATTTCCAAATAAATTGAACTACACAATATGTTAACATACCATACTATCCTTCGTCCTCGACAAATAAACATGATGAGTTCTGAACATTTACGAAAAGTTCACTTTATGAAGACTTATAATTTATGAAAATCAAATAATAACAAAATATTTAAAGCTGATATTTAGAGGTTGACACAACTGTGTTTTTTTGCTGAAGAAAAAATAATCTATTTGCCAACTTATCGCCTCAAAAGACTTTAATTAGTAATATTTGTAGTTCGTAAACACTCGACAATGTAATAAAAATGTGGCGGAAAAATCCATTTCTTTTGAGGATAAGAAAGTCGTAAAAACGTCACAAATTGTTGTAGCTCTACTTCTATGTTTCTCACATACTTGTTACATGTAACACTACTCTGACGTTACAGGTTTTATTTCTATGTTTCTCACATACTTGTTACAGGTAACACCACTCTGACGTTATCAGATTTATTTCTATGTTTCTCACATACTTGTTACAGGTAACACTACTCTGACGTTATAAGATTTATTTCTTTGTTTCTCACATACTTGTTACAGGTAACACTACTCTGACGTTATAAGATTTATTTCTTTGTTTCTCACATACTTGTTACAGGTAACACCACTCTGACGTTATAAGATTTATTTCTTTGTTTCTCACATACTTGTTACAGGTAACACTACTCTGACGTTATAAGATTTATTTCTTTGTTTCTCACATACTTGTTACAGGTAACACCACTCTGACGTTATAAGATTTATTTCTTTGTTTCTCACATACTTGTTACAGGTAACACTACTCTGACGTTATAAGATTTATTTCTTTGTTTCTCACATACTTGTTACAGGTAACACCACTCTGACGTTATAAGATTTATTTCTTTGTTTCTCACATACTTGTTACAGGTAACACTACTCTGACGTTATAAGATTTATTTCTTTGTTTCTCACATACTTGTTACAGGTAACACCACTCTGACGTTATAAGATTTATTTCTTTGTTTCTCACATACTTGTTACAGGTAACACTACTCTGACGTTATAAGATTTATTTCTTTGTTTCTCACATACTTGTTACAGGTAACACCACTCTGACGTTATAAGATTTATTTCTTTGTTTCTCACATACTTGTTACAGGTAACACTACTCTGACGTTATAAGATTTATTTCTTTGTTTCTCACATACTTGTTACAGGTAACACCACTCTGACGTTATAAGATTTATTTCTTTGTTTCTCACATACTTGTTACAGGTAACACTACTCTGACGTTATAAGATTTATTTCTTTGTTTCTCACATACTTGTTACAGGTAACACCACTCTGACGTTATAAGATTTATTTCTTTGTTTCTCACATACTTGTTACAGGTAACACTACTCTGACGTTATAAGATTTATTTCTTTGTTTCTCACATACTTGTTACAGGTAACACCACTCTGACGTTATAAGATTTATTTCTTTGTTTCTCACATACTTGTTACAGGTAACACTACTCTGACGTTATAAGATTTATTTCTTTGTTTCTCACATACTTGTTACAGGTAACACCACTCTGACGTTATAAGATTTATTTCTTTGTTTCTCACATACTTGTTACAGGTAACACTACTCTGACGTTATAAGATTTATTTCTTTGTTTCTCACATACTTGTTACAGGTAACACCACTCTGACGTTATAAGATTTATTTCTTTGTTTCTCACATACTTGTTACAGGTAACACTACTCTGACGTTATAAGATTTATTTCTTTGTTTCTCACATACTTGTTACAGGTAACACCACTCTGACGTTATAAGATTTATTTCTTTGTTTCTCACATACTTGTTACAGGTAACACTACTCTGACGTTATAAGATTTATTTCTTTGTTTCTCACATACTTGTTACAGGTAACACCACTCTGACGTTATAAGATTTATTTCTTTGTTTCTCACATACTTGTTAAAGGTAACACTACTCTGACGTTATATGGTATTTGTTGTAGTATTATGCATCACTTTCATTACAAACCACATCAACCTTGGTGGAAGATTGACCTTTTTGACGTTTCTTCTCATTAAACTTAAGGGGACAACTTAGTGTAAGGTTTTTTTAAAATCTTGTCACAAAATGTTCATGATAATATATTTTGAATCTCTTTATGAACAATTCATGTGGATAAATTGACAAGAGACAATGTTTTCCTGGCAATTTTAATCAGTAATGGAGAAATCCTTAACTGTACAGCCGTACGTTTTATTGACCTTTATAGTTAAGGATTTCTCCATTACTGATTAAAAATGCCAGGAAAACATTGTCTCTTGTCAATTTATCCACATGAATTGTTCATAAAGAGATTCAAAATATATTATCATGAACATTTTGTGACAAGATTTTAAAAAAACCTTACACTAAGTTGTCCCCTTAAGTTTAATGAGAAGAAACGTCAAAAAGGTCAATAAAACGTACGGCAGCTGTCGGTAAATTTCAAGCAAACAACAAGAGGCCCAGAGGGCCTGTAACGCTCACCTGAATATGTGTAATATAATTGGTATGAAGTAAGGATATAGCACTCCATGGTAGGTGCTGTAAGTACATATGAAATTTCAGAAAGATTCATCCAGTACTTGAGATATAGCCTGAACAAACTTCAAACAGAGCCCCACCCCTATGCGCCTAGCGGGGTCATACCCACCAATTATACAAGGACCCAAGGATGCTCCATACTAAATGAGGATAAAATCCCTTAATCCCGATGGTCGAAGAAGGATTTTAAAGGTTTTACCTCTATTTCCCCTATTGGGCCCCGCCTCTCTGCCTCCAGGGGGGTTAGACACACCGTTTATACAAAATTGGTTCTCCTTCACCCACGGATGCTTCATATAAAATTTGGACAAAATCCTGTCGTTCGTACAGAAGAAGAAGGTTTTTAAATCATTTGCTATGTTTCCCCTATTGGGCCCGCCCTTCTACCCCCAGGGGGGCCACACTCACTGCTTATACAAAATTGAGTCCCTTTTACCCAAGATCCTCCAGACCAAATTGGGAAGAAACCCCTTCATCCCTTTGGTAGAAGAAGGGTTTTAAAAGTTTACCTCTATTTCCCCTATTGGGCCCCGCCCTTCTGCCCCCTTGGAGACCCCACCCACTGCTTATACAAAATTTAGTCTACTTGGCTCAAGGATGATCCAGACTAAATTAGGATAACATCCCTTAATCCCTATGGTAGAAGAAGGATATTAAAGGTTTTACCTCTATTTCCCCTATTGGGCCCCACCTCTCTGCCTCCAGGGGGGTCGGACACACTATTTATACAAAATTGGTTCCCCTTCACCCAAGGATGCTTCAAACCAAATTTGGACAAAATCCTGTCAATTCTAAAGAAGAAGACGGATTTTGAAGAATTTGCTATGTTTCCCCTATTGGGCCCCTCCCTTCTGCCCCCAGGTGGACCACACTCGCTGTTTATACGAAATTGAGTCCCCTTGGCCCAAGGATGCTCCAGACTAAATAAGGATAAAATCCCTTAATCCCTATGGTAGAAGAAGGATTTTAAAGGTTTTACCTCTATTTCCCCTATTGCGCCCCGCCCCTCAGACCCCAGAGGGGCCAGACCCACGGTGTATACAAAATGGGTTCCCCTTCACCCAAGGATGCTCCAAACCAAAGATGGATCAAATCCTTTCTTTCCTACAGAAGAAGAAGGAATTTAAAGAATT